GAAACAAATTAAACAGAGTAATTACTTTTTCCAAATTAAAGCTTTGAAGTCTTTCATTAATCTGATGATAAAGGAGGTTACCAAATCCTGACTGAAAGAAAAGTAAAGCACTGGCGATCTGAAGAAGGAGTATTAACATATTTCTTTGCTCAACAAAAAGCCAAGTCTCCTAACTCATGCAACACTAAGTTTACCAACATTATTAAAACAACTTAAGAGTATGATCTTTCACTGTGACTAATACACAAAAAAGTTAAGAACTGCTGTTATTTCCTGCTGCTGCTTCTGCCCTCTGATGGTATTACAGTTTAGAGGCAGACATTACCGAGAACAATTCAGATCCACACAAAAATCACATTCATCTTTTTCTCCTAAATACTGGATTTCTAAATAGAACAACTTAATCAGCCTGAAAAAGCTGGAAACATGAAATGCTAAGTTCTTCACTTCACTAAACTACACAAGGATAAAAGTAAGGAAAAATACATTACCAGTTCACATATTTGAGTTTCTTCTGGTCTTCCAGAAACCCTGAAAAGAAAGCACTAACATGCCTTACTCTGCCAATGACGTCACACACAGGATGAAAGAAATGAGGGGAAGAGTGATTTGATGAGTTACGCAAGTTTAAAGAATTAAAAGGAAACCCAACCATCACACGTCTCCCTAAGAAAACAGACTGGGTGTTTACCCTTAGGATAAACCTTAAGGGTCTTCCTCTCCTCTTAGGTGATGCGGCCCTCTGCACATGAAGCCTAAGTGCTCAGGAATTACAACTGATCAATAAAAATTTTGAAATAAAATCCAGTGTTAATCAGAAGATGAGGTCTCAAAAGGAATTAAAAGCACCTAGCTACAAGGGTAGTTTGTAAAAAAGTTGACCAGAGACAGAGACTACTTGTAGCGCTAAATATTGGTCTGTGAAGGGGGAAACAGACACAAACTAAAGGAAAACCAGCATCAGTTAACCAGTGTTGGGACAACAGTTCTTCAAAGAAGCCACTGTGCAAGCTGGGCTTAAACTAACCTCAGTTCCTCCAAAAAGATACAGAGTCTTGTGTGGGACTGAGCATCACTGAATAGGTGACACAGGACATTCCCTGCAGCAGGCCTTCCACCCCAATGCAGACAGGCCAGGAGGGTCCCAGGGGACACACAGACCTTAACACTGCGTACCTACTCCTACAGGCTTTACAGCAGCAGCACTGATCATCGGGACTAAGCAGCTCCTTCCTCAGAAGTTCATACGTGGGCACAAAAGGAAGGAGGTCATTTTGACACACGGGCATCCCGCCGAGGAGGGAATGGCTCCTGTCACACAGATCTTCGCTACTCTATTTTCATACCCTTCCCGAGATCAGAAAAGAGCACGGAGTAAACAGTGGGAAAGCTGGAACCCTGACAAGCCAAGAGACCGGCCTGGTATCAACATGGGAGCCCACCTCACACCACTCCTTTTCCCCACTCCTGGCGGCAGCCTCCGGGCTGCACCACAGGAGTTTGCATTTGTTGCAAGAAAATCCGAGCCGAGATTTCCTGCTTTCCGCTCTGCTTCCGAGATTGCCGGCTCGCGAGCGGCAGTGCTCCATGCAGCTGCTGCTCCCCTCCTTCCCTCGGAGCCCAGGCCCAGCCTGAGCGGGAGCGGCGGCCGCCCGGCCCGGCCCGGGCTGAGCGGGGCCCCTCGGCCCTGCAGCCCCGGCACCGAACGGCGAGCAAGGGCCGGCCCCGCCCGGCCCGGCACTCACTTGTCATAGAACGGGTGCTCCTCGCCGAACTCCCGCAGGTGCTTCTTCTGCTTCTTGCTCAGGCTGCGCAGCAGCTCCCGCCCGCCCCGCCGCTTGCCCATGCCGGCCCGGCCGCTCCACGTGGGTGCCCGGCGCGCTGCGCTGTCGCACGGCGGGGCGGTGCCCGCAGCCCGGCGCCGCCCGGTGATGCCGGGAGGGCGTCGCACCCTGGGAAGGCGGGGCCGGGGCGGCTGGAAGGAGAGGCGGAGGGGGGTGAGCTCAGGGGCCGAGCCTCGCCCCGCCGGCAGCAGCCAGCGTGCCGTGCGGGGAGCGGGCGCGCATTTGTTCCTGCGATCCGCGCTGGGGAACGCAAAGTACCGGCAGGGAACGCTTGTCCCAGACGGTGCCCAAATCCAAGCCCGTCCCGACGCTGCGGCCCGCCGCGAGCCGAGCTTGGTGCGGGCCGTGACGCGTTTCCGCTGCCGCAGCCGCGGTGCGGGCGGTGAGCAGCGTGTTGGCAGCGGGGCGGGTCCCGCACACCCGCGGCCCGGCGCTGCTCCCGGGCTCGCGGAGCGCAGGCAGACACTGCTGGAGCCACCGCGCTTTGTCCAACTGACCCGTGATCTGCGGTGCTAACAGCTACACATCTTCTGGGAAAAGTACAGTCAGGCTAGAGGAAGAGACCAAACTCAAGTCCTTAATACTCAGGCTTCCTTATTCTAAAAGCAATCAAAAGCTCCAAATGAAACCCCTCTGAAGTCTGACTCTTGACATGTCACTGCTGAATCTTACTGAGCGCTGCTTAAACGTGCTTTACTGCATATGGAGACAGTTTTTCAGAAACAACCATAAATTGTGTCAAATACAGTAAATTCAGTTCTTTGCTTTAGAAGTTCTTTATACCCCCGTGTTTCTGTATGACCTAGCTGAAACTTCTCTAATCTTTGGTAACAAAGGGCTATAGATGGTGTTGTAATTTGCAAAGCACACAACAATAGGTTTCAGTTTGTCTCTGGAGTACAAGAACTAAGAGCGACATGATTCCAAAGAGGATGGAGGCATGGAATATTTAACTTTGTAGATTGTAGCTTCTTGACTATCTTGACCTGAGGGCACCCATGGGTTTGACTGAAGCAAGCAAGCACATTAACTGCACTTCAGGTACACGGAAGCCTCTGGGAGTTATTCCTGCCTGTTGTTAATCCCATGGTCAGTCCCTTCAATAAACCCCTCTGGCCTGGGGAAAATTGTCTCAATCCAAACCATTCCACCGACCTGCTTTACCCAGTACCCCACAGCACACAGACAGCAGCAGCAGTTGGCTGTGCCCAGCAGCAGAAATTCCCTTGGCAGGTTCTGTCAAAGCTAACATGTTATGTAACAACACTAAAATAAACGATTTCCAGCTAGCAGGGTTTTTTTAGTGAAGTTGGCTGTCATGCTCTGTAAGAGGAAAAATATTGCCAATCAATCCCACTTCTGTCAGGAACGTGAAAAAGGCAGTATATTTTTATGTTGCAAAATTGTTTCTTGTTGACTTACAATTTGGCATTGGGAGACAGCAGGAAGAGCAGGAGTCTGTTCAGAGCTGAATCAGGAGAGCTCAGGAACTCTTTGGGGATTGCATTCTTGTGTATTAAAAAGGGAAAATTATAAGACCTTGGTGACAGAAAGCCTGTAGCTCAGACTCCAGTGTTGTCTGTACACTCTTTCCAAAATTCTGGCTATCACACTACCTTGTGGAGTTTCAGCCTGCTTTTAAATATTGCCTTATGAATTAAAAATGCATGGATCTCATTATTTTGTTTTGAATGCTGGCACTTGCTTCTGTGGCCATTTATTCACACTTTTTTCACCAGAATGGAAAGTTTTTCTACCAGCTTAGAAGATCTGGTCCTGTAGCTTGAAGTCTATCCTCACCCCCTTTTCTTCTTTCCATCCTGACTTCAGTTTAACCATTGAAACCAATAATGATATTCCTGGAATTTTTTCCCTCTTTCTGCTCAACTCCTTCCTCCCTCCTCCCCATTCCTTGTGTGAGAAGGATCCTACCTGGGCAGTATTTGGTGTTTAGGATTAACTACTTAAAATGTTGTGGTGCCATTGATGTGTGTCTTAGAAGATGTTTTTCCCAGGAAATGAACACCTCAGCTCTCTCTCGTGAGGCATGGGCAGTAAAGCAGCACTGATGCTGATATCCCATAGACCATTGAACATGTAACCACTGTTATATGATAATCTCTTTCCTAAATTACATCTCTCCACTTGAAAATTTTAAATAAAAATTTTAAATGAACTTGTAAAATCACCCTGGAGCTCCTAGTTGCTAACATGGTAACATATCACCAGCAATATTCTTTTTACAGATTTCTTATGCACCAGCATCTCTAATTCCAGCAATAATACTGGAAAGAAAGGAAGGAGAAAAGCCTGCATTATTTGAAATCTGTTCTGCTGACCCCATTCTGTCAGCAACCACAACTAAACCCTGTCAGCAGAAATGTGCTGCTGCTACCTGTGTGTCTCCAGCACTTTTATCTGCATGATGTTCCAGAGACAGATGGTTTATAAAAGCCACTTCCTTTATTTTAGAGAACTCTGCTAATATGAACAGAACAGATTCCTCCTTGTTGGCTTATTGCCTTCACTCTGTTGTCTCACACCAACTCCCTTTCATGCCTTTCTTCATACCTGCTTTTCCACCTCAGTTTTGCCCTGCCCCTTGTGAGATTTTTTTCGTTTTAGTGCATGTTTTTAATTGAAACAAATGCGTTGATCACACACTTTCTATCCAAATTCATGAACGGAGAGCTAAAGTGTCAAATCATTTTGCCCTAAGTTTCTTAGGCAGCGTAAATTACACGATGGACTCTCATATATAGCTTATAAAGTTGAATGTTTATTTATTAATATTGTATGCATTTCTGTGAATATAATGAAAAGAAAGATGTGTAAGGCACAACACTGGCTTGCAGCAAAGAGAAAGGTAAGAAAGGAGTTCATGTCTTCCCTTTCTGTACATCACTCCTTTCATATTCAAACTGGAATTCTAGCAAGGTAGGAATGTGATGCACATTCCTATGAAGCACACAGCTCTGCTGTGATGCATGGAACATCCCACGTGGCATACACTGCCTTTGTTTAAGGCAATGAAATTGCTGATCCTGATAATTTTGCTATATGGATGCAAAACTGGGCACTTCAGACAAAGATCATTTAAACTTTGGATGTCTGACTCCTAGGAACACAACAGAGCAGGCTCAAACTCTGATGTCTGTAAATCGTATGAAGCATGGAGTATTTATTGCAACTACAAATGTTCTGACTGAAAAATCAGAGGAGTTGGTCAGTAGGAAGGAAGGTTACTTGAGAGGAAACCTAAAGCAATGGTGGGAGTGGTGCTGTTGGCACTCGCTAAGAAATGTGGCAGGAAGCAAAAATGGAGAAATGTGGTATAAGTAAGGGAAAAGAAGATGGGAAATAGTTTATCCAACAAAGTAGTTTATCCAAAATTGATAAATTGATGACAGTCTGGCATCCTTAATATTAAACATGACACAAACATGAAGTGGATTTGGAAGAATTTCAGCATTCAGAAGCCATCCAGTATCAAAAGGAGATGGTGAATTTATATTTATGTATATATACACATACTTTTACATATATAAGTAAAAATAAACTTTAGCTTTCTACAAACGTTTTACAGATTACCACAGTCACTGATCACAGAACACAGTAAAATTTCTTCTCTTTATAGCAGTTCAGTCTACATGTACCGGAGTTATGAGGAAAAATAACTTGATGAAACAAGAGTTTATACAATTTCTTTATAAGAGAAACTTTATTTAACAATGGACTGTCTCAGTAAATGAGGTTGATAGGAGCAACGAATTTCAGTACTAATGAAGTAGCTGGTGTGTTCATGACTTTACTTCAGTTTCTTCTACTTGAGGTAGTGTATCCCAAACAGGTTTCTGAATGTGCTCTGGTATTTTCTCTATCTTAGTCTAAAAGGAAAGAAAAACAACCACTTACTGTACCAGCCAGCTCACATCTAACTGCTTTGCTTTATGTACTCTGGTTTGAGACATGAATCAGATTTAAAATGCCACCTAGTGGCACTTCCAAGCAATACAGCCTCTTTTCCATCCAGTATTTTGGAAAATCTTCCAATCAAACTACACTCATTTTCTCTGCTGACTTTCTGAAGCCTTCAGTAGTTACTGGTACTTGCATCAGGACTCGTAACAGTTAACAATGTGGGGTGGAAACTGACCTTTTTCACTTCCATGGCAACCCCTTCAGGTAAGTTTCGTTGCACATACTCCAAGTAAACTGCAGCAGTACTGCTTGTTAGGTATTTTAACTGAAACAGAAAGATTTTTTTTTTAATGAACCACTATTAATAATACTTCAAACAGAATTAAAAATAAATTGCCCTGGCTTCTTTAGCCCTTGCTATGGGGACCAAACATGTTACAGGAAGCCAACTTCCATAATATTCTGAACAGAAGCAGTTCATCTGTACTCAACTCTCATGCAAGTGTAAAGTAGTTACTCCATTCCACAGAACTGCATATGCTGCCTGGGAACACATGCACTGAGTATGACAGAAGTGGTGGATCTTAACACTGCAGCTTTCAGATGAAATTAATTACAGATTATACAAAAATCACCAGTTTTTCTGTACTCCCGAAGTTCAAGCCTGTTATAAATCCTGCAACTCCAGAGTTCCACTGAAACCCTGATTGTTTAATTTCTCCTGGTTTTACTAAATTACTGATCCTTTAGGTTTTCCTGGAAGGCAAGAACAGGGCTTATGGTCTGTACTCATACTGCACTCGTGTCAAGGGACTTAGAGGTCCCATTTTGCTAAGCACTGTGCAAATATACAGTAAGACACCCAGGAGCCACAAAATGCTGGAAGTAAACCTTTCTTCTAAGAAAGTCAACCACAGCTGCATTCTAAACCATACAGATGTCTGTGTCATCAGCCACAGAGCTGGTGGTTTGTCTATGCTTCCTTTCTTCGACTTCCTACATGCAGTTTTAGTTTGCCACATGATGCTGCACAGGACAAAAGTATGTCTGCTCAAAAACATCAGTCCAATTCACAGAGAACAGAACCCTTAGTGACTGGCAATGCCAATGACTTATCTGCATCTTCTTCCCTTCCGGAGAAAACTCTCACCCCAGTGATTTTTGGAAACCAAGAGCATAACACACATCAATTCTACCTTACTTTCTTTAGTCATTTTTTCAGCTCTAAAGATGATGGTAAAAATAAAAACTTTTTGGTCCAAAATTGATGTAGGCTGTGCATTCAGAATAACTCGTGTTGCGTATTATGTAACTAGGTCAGCCGTTTTCCAATATTCTGCTGCATTCTCCTCCCCAAAACATTTTCATTTGTGCATTAGCACGTAGTAGTATCTCTGAACTGTGCATCTAGAACAATTTTGTTTCCTTCTTTCTTACCTCTAAACACATGTAATGTGTTCTCATTTCATACTGAACTCTGTGCTTCTTGTAAATGTGTACGGATTTGAGAAGTGTAAATCGCTCTATCGTCTTCGGGGGTTTATCTCTGAGCAAAGAAGAAAAGGAAATTTTCATGTTATATAAAGGATGGTAATACAAGTTGATCTGAAAGATTATGCTGAAATCTCTGTTCTTATTTGACAATTAGAATATCTACAAGGAAATATCAAACACTGGTACAGTTTGTTATTAACTCACATGGGCATGGTTAACATTCAGGTATTATTAACCAGCCCTGGATCAGGGATCTCCAGCACTGACAGCTGTACTGAAAGTACTGTCAGTATCCTTCATGGAGATAAAAAGCACTTCCACTATGGCAGTGCTGAGTGCAGAACTGCTGCTGCTTTCTCATCACTGTCCTCCCAGCAAAGAAGTGTTAGGTCTATAATCTGAGAAAAAAAATGCCAGATTACAGCCATTTCTTAGAAAAAGAAAAAAATCCTTCTACGCAGAGGACCTGAATTACAGTGGATAACAGCAGCATCATCTCACTCCATAGCACTCTACAGATCAGTTACTTACACTTTTTCAACAGAGATGCCAAGTTCTTTAGCTGCAAGCACTGCAAAATATTCATAGCTGTCCAACACAGCTTTATCGTGGCCTTTAACTAAAATGGACAATCTCTTGTACAGCGTTTCTGGCTCATCTGAAACAGACACCTGCATTTGTGAAGAAAGGACAAGAGTTACCACACCACGTTCCCCTTAATTAATGCATGCACTGTGTATTTACTTGGCCTGCATGCCCCATTTGTAAAAGAGCAAAAACACCCCACAACCTGTTGAGCTGCTTAGTTTAGTTTATCTAACAGAATCTGCCTGCATTGCCTTGACTGACAGATCTCACTCTACCAGGGAAGGCAAAGTGTGAAGAGATAGCTACCTTCTGAACATTTAGGTAAGATTTCTTCTACCCAAAAAGGAATGCCAGATGGATATAAGGAGGACAACACTAGCAACAGCAAGAACAAAACTCATTGTTGAAGCAAGTCTGGAGCACTGTTTGTATTTTATAGAACAGTGTGCAAATACCCAAGAGTTTGCTTGGGCATTGAAATTAAATAGACCATTATGGACAGCAACCAGAATTCTCACTTTACTAAGCTCTAAGACTACTTTAAACACAGCAGTCTTCCCCAGGTGTATGGGGAAACCTTCATGTTTGTACAAGAGCAAGTTTATGACTTTCAGTTAGAGCTTCAATTTCTGATGGTCTGGGCTCACTGTGATCACTGGAAGAGCCTTAATGAGTGCACAAGTGCTGATTTTCCCAGAGGTTCCCTCCTAGGCACACTAAATGCAGCAGTACCAGCCACAGCAGGAAGGCAGGAGCAGCACTGTAGATCTAATACTGCTTGTCAAATGTTTCTGAAGCCCTTGTCAAAAGGCTGCTAAGCTGCTGCAGGCACTGAATTGAATATGGCCAAAAAGTTGGTGTTTCATACAGTTACAGCTGCACAGAAAAGGGAGAAAGTTACTGAGAGGCAACTGTGAGCTACAGAAATCCTGCTGGGAAAAAAACCAAAACCCACACCAAAACAGAAGATCTCAAATACCAATAATCTAAATTATTTCTTTCTCTATGACAAATTTGACATCACTAAGGCAGACCTTCAAAAAGCTGCAAGAAAAGAATTCAAGTTGTTCTAGATGTCGTTTTTATTACTAAGAAAACATATAAAATACTGTGTTACAGAACACTCACCAAAGGATTAGTCTTGGGCTCCTGTGTCTCAACATGGGATCCAGCCAACCGTGCTCCCATCAAGGTGGAGCTCCTGGAAATACAGTCATGGGAAAAGCATAAAATAAGTTGTTAAAGTTGGATTTGATTTTTTCAGGGACTATGGAGGAGCAGTGGAAGGAGGAGGGGCTGTTACACTTACGGAGGAAAATACTGCTTTTGCATAATTCTGCTTGCATAACTGACAGGAAAAGCTGATCCCTGTATAAAACAGATAAGTTATATTATGGTGATCTTCCCCAAGCCAGAAAGCAGCCAGTTAATACAGGTTTATTAAAGATTACTTTTTTGCACACCAAAGCACAGCACATTCCTAGGCACTGATTTGACAAATGAGAAAGTTTGCTCCATTGGAAAAGACAGGAAATTAGGAGCATGGAAATGTATTTCAGTATACAACAGCACCTAAAAAGAAGCACATTAAGGGCACAGTAACAGTATGCATTTACTACTGAGGCACCTAAGTAGCAATCATAAGCATATTTTTAACAGAAAAAAAAATTTTTGTGGCATCAGATGCCATTTCAGTATATGATAATATTTTCTTTTTAGTTTTACCTTCATGGTACAATATATGAAAGTTTTGTCAAGTGCCAAGCCTAAGTAGGACTTAAAAAAGTCTATAAATGCAAAAATTTAGTCTGTGAATTTAGGGAGAAATTTACTGGTTTTTTCAGAAAAAAAGTTCCTTGAACTTTTGTTCTTTGTTCTCCTCAATTCTGAACACCTGTTCTTTTGAAGAGAACATTTAAATAGAAATATTTCGTAGAAGCCAATGAACCATGTTTAAAAGTTAACATGATTTTCTGTTAGAAAAGGAATATAGTTGTTAATCATGTAACATTACTGTCTTTCATACCAGAATAATTGTTCCCTTCTGAACATTATGTGGTTTCTAGCTTCCTTCCACTAATTCTTAATTTGGCAAAGTTATAGACTGACTGCTTGAGGGGGGGGAAAGGAACTCTGACTTATCAGAACCTCAGAGCTGCAGCAGAATGCTGAAGCCAAATTAGTTACTTATCTTGCCCCCTGATGCTCTTTTCTGCCATGTGCTGGAGTCACAGCTTTAAGAGAGAAGACAGATACCCACCCAAGAGTTATACAGGTGACTGTCTAATCAAATCATCAGAAACCAGCCAGATTTTACACTTTTTCAGGTAATCTTACTGCACTTGCCTGTGGATATGCATAACCGACACTATGATGCCACTAGGTCCCTAACCTTTTCAGTAGGCACCATACATTCATTGTACATGAGCAGTGAGCAAAACTTTTCTGAAGTAATTTTGCCTCAGTCACAATTTATCCACAAATGCTGCTTCCCATAGAGAAGATGGCTGCAGGAAGAGGAGGGGAGATTTCTGTTTACAAAGCTGACTACAGTACTCCCCTTAAGCAATCCTTTCAAATCCAGACCTTCACAGAGGCACTAATGTTACATTTTTTAAGTGCATAACAAGATAGGCAATTTTAGGAGCACTGAATATCTGTCACTGTAGTTGGTAGTCATTCAGAAGGTTTCAAAGTTTATGCTGGGAACGATCTGACCCTTAATAGCTAAAAGAAGTGAAATACAGCTAGTAATTGTCTAATGACAAATGTAAGGCTATTAACTGTAATCATAAGTGATTTTTTTAATCTGTTTTGGGTTTTTTAATGCATGTGCATATGCAGTCTATGCTATGTATTCTTTTAATTATAACTACTTGACTTAGTAATAAGGATTTATTATTTGCATGCAAAGATAAATGCACTCATAGGTATTGTGCTATGTGGTTTTAGATACAAAATTTTCAGTCTTAACATAATAAAAATGAATAAAACAAAACCTGATTAAGCAGCAGAGTCCTATCCCACACACTAAGGTCTGCAGCCTTACCAACATTCTATGACTGCACATGTTATTCCTACTACATGCCATTTCCCTTTGTCACTAATTAAGCAGATCTGCATCAAGTCAAAAGATTTTGTAACATTAAATGAAATGTGTTCTATGCAAATTTTGACAAAATGATACACTGAATACCTCAAGAGCTAGATATTACATTCAGTGGGCAGGAATTCGTAAACAGCTTCACTGTCTGGTTTAATGACGTGCTCTTGCTAAGGGCCATCACAGAAGGTGGAAATGACACTCAAACACTGCAATATAACAGAACCAAGACTTTGCACAAAACATAATTACCCCCTCCTAGTGCAAAGTAGCCTCAATTTTGTTTGGCCGAGAGCCTCTGAAGTGTCAGGGGGAGACAGACGCTGAAAGGCAAGTCCAGAACACACCGCATAGACAGAAGAGAGATTAGGGCTTCAGAAAATCCAATTTTCTCAATATGGGAAAAAGCAATCACTGTTTTAAAGTCCGAACTAGCAATCATCATCAGCGCACTACGCTTTTCTGTTATTTTACGTTGTAACTTCCAGGCTTTGAAACTTTTTAGACTAAGAAACTCGCCTAGCACACGGCCTCCAAATCCAAGTCACCTGTTCTTCACTATCCCTTCGACTCACTGCGGGAAAACCACAGAACTGCAGCCAAGAGCTCTGAGGACCCGCCAGGCGATGATGGCGTGCAGAGACACAGTCTCACGCTGTGCAGCCCCAGCCCTGCCGGAGCCCGAAGCACAGCATTTGCCACGTCCCCTGTTCCCACTCCCCTCAGGAATGAAGACACCAAGGGAAAGTACGAGGAGGAGGCAGCGGGCACTCCCGCGTCCCTTGTCCCGCCGCACACCGCACCTGACAGAGCCGCCGCCACAGCCAGCCCGCCGCCATCTTGGCTCCGCCCCTGCCCGCCCTGCCGCCCGGAAGGAGAAGCGCGACCGCGGCCCGCACGTCCTTCCCCGCCAGGGCGGCAGCGCTCGGCGGCGCGGAGGCGATCTTGGGGCCCCCATGGCGCCGCAGGAGCCGTACGAGCCCCAGCTCGGCTCCCCAGCCCGGTCCCGCCTCCCCCGAGCGCTGCCTCAGTGCAGCACCGACGGAGCAGCGGCTCCCCCTCAGCCGCCTCCCGCCGGCCCCCTCACGCCTCCCCGGCCTGTTCTCTAGGAATCCTTTCAAAAGAAACCAAACCAAAACAAAACCAATTACACGAATCGTCGTTTTCAACAAGCCCGTTAGAGCAAAACCCATTCGATTGTATTTTACCGATATATAAAAATGACTGGCAATGGCACATAATTCCCTTTCTTTTCACACATACAAATAGCGATTAATAATACAACACAGCTTCTGATCGGTACCAAATCTTTAAAGGGGGTAGGGAAATAAAAAAATGCTGATTTATGCCACTAAACGATCCTTAAATACACACAACCAGGTAGGCAGTGTAGAGTGAGATTAACCTGAAATTAAGCTGTGTGCAAGTCAAATGCTAAACACAGGAACCTGAAACCAGCATAGATCACAAGCTCTATCAAATGTATATATATTTTTTATTTTGTTACTCCTTTGCCACCTAAAATTACAGTCTGCTTTTTACACTAAAACGCCTAAAATATTTACACAACCATCTTCTAATAAAATAACAGTTAAATATTGAAAATAAGATTTTTCTCATAAAATATGTTTTCTGTATGTACACGTTTTATCAAAGAGGACTAGCTCCAATATTGAATAGTTTTCCATCATCAACCATCAGCAAGAAAAAGTTTTCTGAAACAAAACTATGTTCAACTCATGTACAAATATGCAGAACAGCACATTTAACATCAGCCAATGCAACACTTAACGACGAAGTCAATGTTTGAGGCCTAAATCATGTACTGCTTAGGAAATGTGCATTTATCTTTTTTCCTTTATGAATAACTTCTTTGGTTATCATTGTTCTATTCTTGGCTGTACAATAAAACAGCACCCAATTGATGTTACTTAACCAGGCATATGTATATGTGTATATATATTTATAGGTACTAAGTTTAGCACAGGTCCTGTGCAACTGTTACTAAAAAAGTGTCACTGTAGATTCTTTAATACAGAGCTACTCTTCAGAATCAAGCCCCTAAATTTCTACTGTATTTCACTCAGTTCTTCAAGCAGAACTCCAATTTCAATCATTATTTTGCTTAAACAGTTTTTAACCACCAGGAACCTGAACACCTGTCCGTTTTCCAGTGTAGAGCCTTTCTCACAAAGATCCTTAAAGGTTGAAAATGATACAAGCTTGGGAGAGGAAGAGTAGACTCTGCTGGGCTGTTTCTAACACAGACTCCTGAAAGCCAACATGTTTTAATGCTCACAAATCCTCCACCACTTTGCAAACCATGAAGACTTGCAGTATCTATGAGGTTTTTTGTCAGTGGGTCTTGCTGGTGGTACAGAGTTGAGCACCCAGGCTGCTGAACCTGGGTTGCATATGGCCCCTGTGAAATGTCACAGCATGGACAGGAACTGCTGGGCAATGTGCTGAGTGGCACATTGGCAAAGAAAAGGCTGCTGCTGCCTGATCTCCTGAAGCTCAAGGGTACAATGACTGAGAACATCACCTCTTATGCGACGGGAGAAATGCCACCCACTGGTCAAACCCTACTGCAAAAACCTCTGGAAAACCCCGCAGAACACAACAACAATCACGTACCCAGGAAGAACTTCACTAACCGGAAACTGAGAAGTTCTTTCCATTCTCCTGAAGGGTTGTTCTTTAGCATCAGAACATTTGACCTTAAGTAGAAACTTGAGACTTCACATATTTGGCTTTGACAGAGAAGGCACCTCTCTCTGTCAGTGGGTCCCACTGGTTCTGAACTTGTGTGGTCCAGTAAATCCTATAAAAGTGCTGTGATTTACCCTCCTTTTGCATAGTTAAACAAGGATAACATGTAGAAAATAAGACCCACCATCCATCAGATTCTGGTGAAGAACCCAATAAAAAAGAACCCAATAAAATAAAACCCAACTTATTAAAAAAAAAAAACCAAACAAACAAACCTGAAGCCTGGAAGATCTGAAATAAGTCTTATAGTATTTTATAAAGTTAACAAAACTCCTCTAATGTGCAAAATTCACAAGAAAATCAGTGCTGCTGACTCTGAGAGCTCTGCAATCAGCATTTGTATTCTGTAATTAAAGGTCCACTCAACCTAACTCCATTTCTTCCTTGTTTTATTCTGCAACGTACAATTCTTTCATATCCTGTTTAATCAGAGAACCAGATCTAAATTTATATAAACTCAGGTGTCAGGTGTCCAGCACATAGATCTGAACCTAAGGGAGGAGAAATGGTCATTAAACAGTAGCATCAACTCACCTCTGCAGCATGTTTATAGTAAATAAACAACAGCTGAATTTGATGCAATGAAGAGGACTGAAAATGGCACAAGGGTAACACATATACCTAGGTGCTGAAAGCACATCAATCTCTTTTCCAATGGCAAGAATGCTTCCCTGTGTTTGCCTGGTGAGAGAGCAAGCATTGCTTGAGCACACACTACCCTAAAACCACAGAGATGGCTATTCCACAGTGTGATTTATTGTCATGGGACAATATTTCCAGTGCAATCTGATTACCAAGGCAGTGTTCCTGATTCAGTGTTCCCATCAGAGGATGTCAACCATAGAGCAATCATTTTCCTTCTTCAATCTTGGAAATTAGGTCATTTTCAAATCAGCAGATCAAAACCTTGCTAAATGGAATGTCTAAAATGTCCTGTGTAACCAAGACAGAACTGAAAATGAACTGTGACATTACTAACTCTTTCACAATTAAACCAGATCTTCTTCCATCTTGCTTAAAATGGCGGCACAAAGACAAATAATGTAATGGTATCTTTAAGAGAGATGACATTTACTCTCTAGAAGATGCTGGAAATGATCCAATATAGACAAAAAAAAAAAAGTTTAATCAGAAGTGTGTGAAATTTATTCTTGTAATTGGGGTAAAATGAAACTTGGAAGAGTTAAAGACTAAAGATTCTACCAGGACCATCTGGTAGGAACTGATAGCAGAACCATGAACTTGTGTAATTAGTGGCCTTGGAAGTTATCAGCAAAAAGAGCTCAGATAAAAACACCTTATAAGAATATTTGTACCAATTATTTATTTCTTCCCCCAAGACACAAATTAATAAAAAAAAAAGGGAAAAAAGCAGATTTTTTTTCTAGACCTGGATAAAAGAATTATAATTTTCAACAGGTAGTTTACAATCAGTGGGAATAAACAAGCAGTCCAGGTTTCCTGATTGATCCATTCAGGGTGTGCTCAGTAGCTGTCTATCAAACAATTTTATTTACAACTCAGCATCATCCTGCAGTAGATCTGGATCTTCATCATCCAGTAAGAGGTCAGCATCCATGACTTCATTCTCTTCCATGACATCACCCAGATCCGGAACAACATCATCATCAATGTCACCAACATTTTCAACATGTTTAACCAAGCTCATGTGATCCAGGGGGATCAAACTATGCCCAGCTGGCCCAGTAGTTCTTGCAATAGTGGCTGCCATTTCTGCTGCTACAGCAGCTTTCTGAGCCTTCTGCCTTTGCTGTTCTTCTTGTTGTCTGTGAGTCTTCATATGAGCATTGCGGCTTTTGATTTTGAAAAAGACCCTAAATTTTAAAGGGAAAAAAAATCAGATTAAAATGCACTGCTTTTGATGAAATGAGCCAAAAAAGACTCAACAACTTATCAGTACATTTGCTTCCTTGTCCTGAAATAGAAGTCAGTGAAGTCTGCAATGCCATGGTGTGAATTTCAGGGACATATTACCAGATTTATACATCCTGATGGTATCAAAATGGCCTACTCTGATTTTGCCAGAGGTAGTTTGTAGCTCCCACACCTGCTTCAGTATCTATGCACATCATAATTTTCCCTCTATCAGTTTCACAACCATCTTGCACAACAGGAAGAAAGTGAAGGATTACCATGATGGACAAACTCAAGCACAGAAACTCAGAAAAAGTTGCCCACTGTCTCATCCAAATCAGTGATGAAGCAGGAAGCTGGAATGTCAGATGTAAAAATTCTAGCAGGTAAGTGGAAAATAGGAGTAAGTACTGCAGGGGCATCCAAAATGTCATGCAAACCTATCTCTGACAGTTTTGGTAAGAGAACAAATCATCTAGGGGGAAAACTTCTTCCAAGACAATCAGAGCAAAACACAAGGTTTGTTCACAGCACTGCTGGTATGGAATCTAAACAGGCAAAGGCAATGCTGTCCTGCAGACAGTCACACTTACCTGCCACACTCCTTGCAAGGAAAGATCGTGGTTGGGTCTGTCTCGCCGCTCGTTGTGCTGTGGGCAGGGGAGCTCTTGATGGAGCAGTATCCGCTCTGCGTCCCGGATTTCTGCTTGGTGCCAGGC